CTCTCTCTCTCTCTCTCTCTCATTCTCTCTCTCTCTCTCTCATTGTCTCTCTATCTCTCTCTCTCTCACTCACTCTCACTCTTTTTTCCCTCTTTCACCCGCTCGCCAAGCCCCGCATAGCATACCGACACTAAATTGTCTGACGTAGGCCGGAAGTAGAGGAGTTAACAGTTTGATTTCTGTCCTGTCAGATGATTCCATCTGTTGCGAATGCTGTGGTGGCAGACAGGGTAAAAGTGTCATAACGACACAGTGACACAGTGGTATATACCTGCACACTGACACCCACACACATATACATCTGCGCTGCCGAACTATGAGCTCACTGAAAGATATGCGCAAGCTAAAAGGCGACGAAATGGGTAAGTGGTATTTCTCGTCCTCAAACTCATTCTCCTCCTTTTCTCCTCATCCTCTTTCTCCTCATCGTCCTCCTCCATCTCTTCCTCCATTTCATTCTCCTTCTTCTCCTTCATCTTCTTCTTCTTCATCTTCTTCTCCTCTTGTTCTTCTCATCATCCTTCTCCCCCCCCCCTCCTCCTCCATATGAATGTATGTATATTGAAGTCTTAGCAAAAACACAACTGATGTATAATGTATTGAGGTTTGAAACAATTTTATTTGATATAGATGTGTTATATTTGGGCCAGAATCTATGGTACTAAAAAAAAAAGGGAAACTTTTTTAAAAAATGTGTGTCATTTCATGGGAATTTGTCCTTTTATGAAGAAAAGTGTCTGGGTCGGACTCATTTCGACGAATCTGATTCACTGGGTATACGTTTCGTTCGCGATTCTGATTTCAAATCTTCGGGGCTTTAAGAATATTGTTGCTCGACAAGTTGTGTTATCGTTTGACACTCTACACGAGCCATCGGTCTTACGGGCACATTTCACAGACAAGAGAGCCAATTATCCGTGATAATGGTTTATAAAGATATCCCAGAGCCTCAATAAAGACGTGGGCGCATAATGTTCTTTTATTGTTTATTAATTAATTTTTAACTGCAGTCTGCTTTTGTTGGTGCAATGAGCTTTTTTACATATCATTCTTACCCAAAGTACCAACCCAAATTTCAAAAGGATCTTTAAAAATCAAATCAAGAATTGAAAGAACGTTTCTCTGTACATTTAAGTAATACATTTCAAGCTCTGGAAATATTGAATCAGAAGACTCAGGGGGCGGGGGGGTGTGAAAGATTCAATAAAGGAAACAGTGGAAGAAAATATGCCCCAAAAGCTAAAGCGCAAGTACAAAAATGGATGAGCCAGGATATACTTAAACTAATGGAAAAGAGTTCCGACAAAATCGTACGTAGAAAAGTATAACACCTTATAGAGGGAAATAAAGAAAACAATGCAACGAAGCAAAAGAAACATGGATTAATGTCAACAAACTAGAGAATAGTCAAAACAAAGACAGGAAATACAAAATCAAAGACGTAAGTGGGCTAAAAGGATGCTCTAGTACAAGGTACATAATATCAAAAGAGGGAACTATCTTAATGGACAAAATATAGTCAGAATACATAGAAAATTTCAAAGACAAAAGAGGATTAAAAGCAGGTAATAAAGAAAGAAATATATGGAGCACCAATGCTGAAAGCAGAAGTACAAGCTGCCATTTTTAAAAAAAATCAAAAGAGGACGAGCCACAGTGTCAGACAATATTCCAGGTGAAGTAATTGTCCCTCTAGAAGAACTAGGTACTAAAATAACAACAAAGCTCTTAAATTTTAGGATAGCGGTGAGATTTCAAGTGATATGATGAAGTCAGTTTTTATAACTTTATATAAAACGCCAGGTGCCACGGAGTGTGGAATGCATAGAACAATAAGCCTTATGATTCATTTTACAAAAATATTGCTGTGAGTACTAGTGGGAAGAATGAGAAAACCCACTAGATGAAAGATACCCAAAACACAATTCGGCCTTGTTCCAGACAAAGACACAAGAAATGCTAGATCTATATTCACTTTAACAAAGTTGATTATAAGATCGATTTCGGCAAGGAAAGATCTATGCTTCGTAGATTATTCACAAGGGCTTTCGAGTAAGTTATACACGAGATGAGCTATTTAAAAGAGCTAGATATACATGCAGATGGAAACGATCTAAGAATTATCTGAAATTTGTACTGGAACAAAGAGGTTATAATAGTCCTAGAGGTCGCAGCTGTGACGTCTCAAACATAAACTCACTATGGCTGTGTGGCACAATCAGCTCGCTTTGTCGCCATTTTTTGAGAGGATTAGAAACAGCGCTGTCACGCTGCGCGTCCCACGCAACGCCTACTCCTCATAGAGTTTGAAGCTCAGTTCAGTTTTATTTAAAGTTTTCTTTTTGCTAGATGTTGTTGTTAAATCATATAACATACGCGCATACACAATACCGCACCTGCCTATCGATTCTGGGAAACATAAATGCACTTGAATGTGGGCAACAAATGAACAGAGAGATATAATAATTCATACGAAGTATTGTTTGCTTTCCCTGGGTCGGGTGGGGGAGGGGTGAAGGGAAGGGAGACAAAATGAGTAATTGAGTTTATTAAGTTAAAGGAAAATTTCATACTTACAAAATGGATTGCTTTTATGTCATGTTGTTAACACTCCCCTTCTACTGATGCAAAGGGGCTCTCAAGGCCTAGAGGTTAAGGTGTTGGCCTCTCATTCAAAGGTCCCGGGTTCGAATCCGGGTAGCGACCAAAACATTTCTTCTCTAAAATTGTCTCCTTTCACCCCCTTTCCTGCTCTCTAGCAATGTTCTGTTGTCTGCTTTCATTTCCACTTTCTGCCCCCACCCCCTCACCTCCTTTGACCCCTCCTCTGGGCTCCTGACTCTTTCTGCAGCCTTTCTACT